CCGGCACTCAACGATGCATAAGTGGGTTTTGGGTTGTAGTTTGGGCACTCAGTCTCTAAAAGGTTCGCCATCACTGCTCTAGATTCTGCATCTATCCAAAAGAGAAGTCTGTCATTCCTCACAGAGACGAGAGGACCGTCCGTTTTTCACGTTAAAAAAAAACAACTTTCCTTTTCGTTCTGCGAAATTTTGGATGGGTAAGCCAAATTTACGCACAAAACGTGCAAGCTGCCCGTTTTCCGTCCTCGGCTGCGGGGACTTTGCAGCTGAAAAGCCCGGCTGCCTTCCCAGTTTTGTAGCTGGAGATTAACATCAGCTTCCTTTCCTTCAGCCTTGCTAAAAATATCGGGCAGCCAAGCCTGCCTCTCGAAGGCCGGTCCAGTTAAAAGAGCCCGTTTGAAATGGAAAATGCACATCATTTGATTCTGCCTCCCCTTTTGCAACAGAAAGCTGCCTAGCGTTTCTTCTCCACAAACCACATCCTTGGCCATGTCTGAGTTCTCCATTCAAAAGGCCAGCGGCGCAGGCCGCCAAACCCTTCAAATTTTTCAGCTTGCACACATCGAGGGATCCAGCATTTTTGATGCCGAGCCCAGCGGTAGCCGCTGCTCAGCTTGCAGACTTATAGAAATGGGAATGCTTTGAGGGAAGGGACAAATTTAGATTTAAATGAAAATGAAATGGTATTAATTGCAATTCACGCAGTTCCTCCCTGGCTAGTTAGTAGGTCTACTTGGGGGTCAGCACCTTTTCAGACTCTGGCACTTTGGGGAGATCTTCTCAGCTTCTCTTCTGAGCTGCTGGATGCAACATGAAAGGATCACTTAAGTTCTCCCCCAAAGGTAGCCTGATCACTTGCAAAAGGTCATGTTTGTCAATGAGACCACAGCTGCTGCAATAGGCATGTAGTGTCCATCTGTCTGTCTATCACCCATCCATTCCTTATTGCCCATTCATCCATCCATCCACTCGTCCACTGCTATCTATCTATCTATCTATCTATCTATCTATCTATCTATCTATCTATCTATCCATCCATCCATCCATCCATCTATCCATTCCTCTATTGTCCATCCATCCATCCACTCATCCATTGCTATCTATCTATCTATCCATCCATCCATCCATTCCCCTATTGTCCATCCATCTATCTATCCATCCATCCATCCATCCATCCATCCACTTATCCATTGCTATCTACCTATCTATATATCTATCTACCCATTCCCCTATTGTCCATCCATCCATCTATCCATCCATCCATCCACTTATCCATTGCTATCTATCTGTCTGTCTGTCTGTCTGTCTGTCTATCCATCCATCCATCCATCCATCCATCCATCCATTCCCCTATTGTCCATCCATCTATCTATCCATCCATCCATCCATCCATCCATCCATCCATCCATCCATCCATCCATCCATCCATCCATCCACTTATCCATTGCTATCTATCTGTCTGTCTGTCTGTCTGTCTGTCTGTCTGTCTGTCTGTCTGTCTGTCTATCTATCTATCTATCTATGTATCTATCTATATCTAGTTTCTACACAATCCATCTCACTAAGTGACTCTTGGGCAGTTTACAAATAACATCATAAAATAATATAAAAACGTGACCAAAAGTACAATTAAAAGCCATCAGTTTTTTAAAACAAAATTAAAACGCAGTTAAAAGCACAGTGCAAAAGAGTAACCATCGTTCCCTTTGGCAAAGAGGAGGCTGTAAAACGAGTCATGTCTTTTCAGTCAAAATCAATTCCACAGAGATGCCCCTGGACTTGGCATTGTTTTCTTTCAGGGTGTCTTTCCAAGTTCACCTACATTCGGGAATTTCCCAGTGGTCTCCCGTCCAAGAGCTAACCAGGCCAGGTGCTGAAACTGCCAGTCTAGATTGCTAGGCGTCCCCTTTTAAGTGTTTGAAAAGGAAAGGAAAGAGGGTCTTAATTTTGCATCCAAGCATGCAGTGCTAAAAATTGCATCCAAGCCAAGGGATGGTCAAATGGGCTTGGTTTTGCAGTCCTGTTAAAATCTTCCCTTCTTGACTGTGGAAATATGCAGAATTCTGTACAGTGACAAGTATTTCCAAAGTGCTTTTGAAAGCAGAGTGTATTATCCAGGCCTCCA